TCGTTTCGTTATGGTTGCACGGGCCGGAAATTAAATGTAGATACCTCGATGCTCATTTCCAGCGGTGCAGTTAGTGGCTAGTTTATCGTGATACCCGCTGCTGTTCGCGTTCAAACTATTTGAATCAATTGTGCGAGCATTTCGATTATTATTAACAGCGGAATGAAACCTCGGTGGGGAATTTCATACGGGATTTTAAAGCTGTATTTTGTTTCCTACGCATGGAACACCTACGCTACGAATTTCTACGCATGGGATTCCTACGCTCTGAATTCCTGCGCTTCGAATTCCTACGCTTGGAATTCCAACGCATGGAATTCCTACGCTCCGAATTCCTACGCATCGAATTCCTACGCTTGGAATTCCTACGCATCGAATTCCTACGCTTGGAATTCCTACGCATCGAATTCCTACGCTTGGAATTCCTACGCATCGAATTCCTACGCTTGGAATTCCTACGCATCGAATTCCTACGCTTGGAATTCCTACGCATCGAATTCCTACGCTTGGAATTCCTACGCATCGAATTCCTACGCTTGGAATTCCTACGCTCCGACTTCCCACGCATGGAATTCCTACGCTCCAAATTCCTACGCATCGAATTCCTACGCTTGGAATTCCTACGCATCGTATTCCTACGCGTCGAATTCCTACGCATGGAATTCCTACGCTTGGAATTCCTACGCATCGTATTCCTACGCGTCGAATTCCTACGCATGGAATTCCTACGCTTGGAATTCCTACGCATCGTATTCCTACGCGTCGAATTCCTACGCATGGAATTCCTACGCTTGGAATTCCTACGCATCGTATTCCTACGCGTCGAATTCCTACGCATCGAATTCCTACGCTTGGAATTCCTACGCTCCGACTTCCCACGCATGGAATTCCTACGCTCCAAATTCCTACGCATCGAATTCCTACGCGTCGAATTCCTACGCATGGAATTCCTACGCGTCGAATTCCTACGCGTTGAATTCCTACGCATGGAATTCCTACGCTTGGAATTCCTACGCTTGGAATTCCTACGCATCGTATTCCTACGCGTCGAATTCCTACGCATGGAATTCCTACGCTTGGAATTCCTGCGCTCCCAATTCCTACGCTTGGAATTCCTATGCATCGAATTCCTACGCGTCGAATTTCCTCGCTCCGAATTCCTACGCTCTGAAATCTTACGCGCCGAATTCCTACGCTCCGAATTTCAACCCTCCGAATTTCTACGCCCAAATTTCTGCTTTCTGAATTTCTTCCATTTCCAATAAGCCCTATCCAGAAATACAGAAAAAGTTTAGACTGACAGTGAGTCGTTTGTAAAATAATTCCCTCGTTATTTTGTTACTTAAATACCAAGAAACATCCGTAATTAATAACGTGCTGTTCGCTGTTTAAGTTACACAAGTATCTCGAAGAAATGCTGCATTTTAGCAATAAATTCTCAGTACACGAATATCCGTTTCATATGTATGCAAATTCGAAAGAGTTGTTCCTGCTTTAATATAAAATTTGCCGGAAAAAGCTCTCCACTAGCAATATATGCATTTCAAACGTATCGTGTGTTGCAGCAGCCTTTACTATAGCAACACTATGTCTAATTTCAATGGATGTGAGTGCATCTGGTTGCAACTTTCAGATACTCGAACATTCAAAGCCTTCGTTCCCAATTTTTCGTTCCATTGATGCAGGCTTTTCAAGTTTATCGTGATCAAAAGGAAATATTTTGGCAGGAAGACGTCTGTTGTTATGCACGTTGATCATTAGAAATCAGATAAATAATGAGAAATGAGGTACTTGACAGACAGATAGCATTTAATGATCTTGAAACATGTATGGGACCAAAGGTAGTCAGACAAGTAGTATTAAACTTGAGTGTAGTCAGACAAGTAGTACAAAATCTGGTGGTCAGACAAGTAGCAGAAGTATGCAGATAGGCAGACAAGTAGTATCAGTCGTGTGGAGATATTAAGACCAGTAGAATAAGACATGCAGGTGGTCAGACAAGTAGAATAAGATTGCCAGGTGGCCAGACAAGTAGTATGAGACTGTCCGGTGGTCAGACAAGTAGTATGAGACTGCCAGGTGGTCAGACAAGTAGAATAAGACAGACAGACGGCTAGACAAGTAGTATGAGTCTGTTTGATGGTTAGAAAAGTAGTATGAGACTGCCAGGTGGTCAGACAAGTAGTATGAGACTGTCAAGTGGTCAGACAAGTAGTATGAGACTGCCAAGTTGTCAGACAAGTAGTATGAGACTGTCAAGTGGTCAGACAAAGAGTATGAAATAGTATACAGATAGTCAGACAAGTAGAGTAAGACAGATAAGAGGTCAGACAAGTAGTATGAGACATGCAAGTGGTCATACGAGTAGTATAGAAGGTATAGGTGGTCAGACAAGTAGTATACGACATGAAGATGTTCTGACAAGTAGTATAAGGCCTGTAGATAATACGTATTGCAAAACAAGTAGTATGAATAGATTTTCACCAAGACAAGTAGTGAGTAGCTAGGTGGTCAGACAAGTGATATGAGAACCATAACTGGTCAGACAAGTAGTATAAACTGATTTACTCAGGCCAGTAATGTTAAATATCCAGACAACTAGTATATATTAAAACATAATCATTGCAACAAGCTTATACAGTATAAACTAGTAATATTCTAATACAGTATAAAGCCCAAAACTGGTCAGACAAATAGAATGAGGTACTCAACAAAACATTACAATGAACAATCGATAAATTTTCCACTTGAATTCCCGAAACGAACAAAATCATCGGCCAGTAAAATTTGATACTCTCATCGAAGCAAAAATTAGCATAGTTATTGTGGAAATTTCAAACACGAACCACGCGGTTTCTTTTTTTCTCTCCGAAGAAAGGAATTTGCCGGGAAACTCGTCGACCAGCCGCCAATTTCCTTCCGTTTTCTGCTTCCCATTCGTACGTTCCACATTCGCATCGGGAAAAGTGAGCCGTGGATCGTGCTTGCCTCGTTTGCACCGCCGGATATTACAGTTTTATTGTCACGGGACACAATTATGCCTCTGTCTATCATTTGTTCTCTCCCGGTTACGTGTGCGTAGATCCATCTGCGAGGCTCGTGAAAATCGTGTCCGGCGATATTCATTTCAAAACACCTCTGACTTTTCCGCGGAAATAATTTGTTTTAACAAAATCTGAAATTCCGTGTCCTCCAAAATATCTCACATATTTTTTAACAAATATATTCGCTTTGATGACATATTCACCGTGTATAATGAAATTAAGTAGGTCTCTCAAAAGGAATATTTTAATTCGTCAATCTGACTACGTTGAGAGGAGACCTAATTTTCAAAATCCCCACTTTCAAACGTCCACAGTCTCATCAGACTTCCGGTACATTGTTGTGAAGCTTGCCAGAATCTCGCCTGTACAAGAAAATCCCGTAAAAGAATGTCGGGACACGACCATCTAGTCATGAATAGATGAGAGGCAGATAAAATTGAAAAGTTCCATAGGGATCCTGTACAGAGGGTAGCCGTCACTTTCGGCCAGCCTCCTATAGCTGGACAGGGATTATGCTCTTCTTCTTTGGTCATGCCGGGATTACGTCGCCGTCTTCATAAGCATGTACATTCAAGCACGGAAACGCTTCATCCTTGTCATGATTTTTGATCTGGCTAAGAACAAAGAAGGAACCCTTCTCAACCTCTGCGGATCGGTGTTAAAAGGGATTTTTTATTATTTTTGGGAGGGGAGTCTAAGGGGAGGAATTGGGTAGGATGAGGTTTCATGTTTTGGGGATTTTGGAGTATTTTGGAGATATGAAGGTATGTTGGTTGATGATAGGGAATTTTTTATGTGTTATATTGTCAGGTGGTGGGGGGTGGCGAGTGATGGATACCTAGGGGTAGAATTTCGACGCTTTGAATTACTATGTTTGGAATCTTTATGCGCCAGAATACTACGCTTCGAATTCGTGCGCGTCGAATTCTTACGTGCCGAATTACCACGTATCGAATTACTATGCGTCGAATTACCACGCGTCGAATTACCACGTATCGAATTACTATGCTTTGAATTACCACGCGTCAAATTACCACGTATCGAATTACCAACGCGCCAAATTCCTACGCATGGAATTCCTACGCTTGGAATTTCTACGCATCGAATTACCACGCGTCGAATTACCACGCGTCAAATTACCACGTATTGAATTACCAACGCGCCAAATTCCTACGCATGGAATTCCTACGCTCCGAATTCCTACGCATGGAATTCCTACGCTCCGAATTCCTACGCATGGAATTCCTACGCTCCGAATTCCTACGCATGGAATTCCTACGCTCCGAATTCCTACGCATGGAATTCCTACGCTCCGAATTCCTACGCATGGAATTCCTACGCTCCGAATTCCACGTATTGAATTACCAACGCGCCAAATTCCTACGCATGGAATTCCTACGCTCCGAATTTCTACGCGTCGAATTTCTACGCAACGAATTCCTACGCATGGAATTACTACGCTCCGAATTCCTACGCATGGAATTCCTACGCATGGAATTTCTGCGCATGGAATTCCTACGCTCCGAATTCCTACGCATGGAATTCCTACGTTCCGAATTTCTACGCGTGGAATTCCTACGCATCGAATTCCTATGCTCCGAATTCCTACGCATGGAATTCCTACGCATGGAATTCCTACGCATCGAATTCCTATGCTCCAAATTCGTACGCATGGAATTCCTATGCTCCGAATTCGTACGCATGGAATTCCTATGCTCCGAATTTCTACGCTCCGAATTCCTACGCTCCGTATTCCTTCGCGCTGAATTCCTAGGCTCCGAATTCTTACGCATCGAATTTCTTACGCTCCAAATTTCTACATCCCAAATTCCTACGCGCCGAATTCTCAAGAATTGACTTTCTACACCCCCGAATTTCTTACATTTGCAATAAACGCTATCCAGAAATACAAAGAAAGTTTTGACTAACAATGAAATTTTGCATGAAATGTTGCAGGCAACCATCGCCAGGTTCCGGCACAACAGGCACGTCGACGGTGTCCACGAATGCCCCCGACACCGAAAATGGCCAAAGTATCAGTTTATACCCTGTCGGAAGTGTGGGTCAAACACCAACGGACCCCACGACAGCGACACCGAACACAACAACAACAACGATACCTTTGGCGAGTGCTTGTACCGTTGCTGGTACGGCTACAGGAACTAACATCACCAGAAGTATATCAGCACCGAGTGCACCGAGACCTGTTGTCCAGGTGACCAGCTCTGCTAGCTCTGCGTCTCAGAAGCCCAGGTTGAGGAGGACTATGAGTCGGACGGAAGCTATCAAGAAGTATGTTGATTTTTATTATTAAGAATATTTATTTGGAGGATATCTGTTTGGAGATTATTCTGGAGTCTGCCTTTATTACTTAAAAATCAATTATTATTAGGCGTTTATCGTTTATTTATTTATTTTATTATGTTATTTATTGTAGCTGGTTTGGCAGCAAAACTGGAAGCTTATATTTGATAGTTAATTAATAGCAAGTTAAATTATTTTACATAAATTTCTAAAGTGTCTACTAAAGATTTGAGCTGTGTTTTGTACACTTTTTGTGCAAAAAGAACTTGTCGTCTAAAAAATAGCTATTTAGTTATGAAGAAGGTGTTCATACGAAGTGTTATTATATAAGACATTGTTAAATTATGAAGTATGAATGAAAATATACTAAATATTTATCAACGATAAATCCCCAAGAATTTTTTCCTCATAGCAGCTATATTTATATACGAAACACTGTCGAGAATAGAATGTGACGTGAGATTTACTTATCGAATTAATTCAAGTAGCATCCATTCGTCTTCCTAGAAAAGACCCAGCAGAAAATATTCGATTTCATCGAGCGAGTAACTGGAACGTTGCTTTATTTTCTGTTTCAGCTACATCAGACGCGAAACAGCACAGTTCTTCGGGGTGGACGAGGAGTCTGAAACGATAGAGAGACAAAGATGGCTGGATCGAAGACGGAGAATGGCGTCGAGGAAATACGGTGCCCTTGTTCCGGAACACAGACCACCGGATCCCGATATTACAAGGGACGTGCCGGATACTACGGATGTGCCAGAAGTAAGTTCTCGGGTTATCAACCTCGCACGTTCGTGGGGTGAACGTTCGATAGGGGATACTTTCTGCTAAAAAATTTTCTTTTCAACTCTTCTTCAAATACTACTACGTGTTTGAGGAATATTAGTACATACTGCAATGTTCATATGTAATATGATCATACGTGGAAATATATGAAGTAACATATTTTGTAATTCATGATGTTTATAATTTATTATGTAGGTCATCTGAGCTATGACCTTTATAGCAAAAATAATATTGACATAAGTTAAAAACTAGCAAGTTAGAATAATAAATAGAAATACAATTTTATTAAAATTCAGAATGAAGGGTATAAGAGCAAGTAGTATGTCCACGTGGTCAGACAAGTAGATTGCAATATTCATATGTAATATGATCATATGTGGAAATATATGAAATAACATATTTTGTAATTCATGATGTTTATAATTTATTATGAAGGTCATCTGAGCTATGACCTGTATAGCAAAAATAATATTGACATAAGTTAGATACTAGCAAGTTAGAATAATAAATAGAAATACAATTTTATTAAAATTCAGAATGAAGGGTATAAGAGCAAGTCGTATCACCACGTGGTCAGACAAGTAGATTGCAATACTCATATGTAATGTGATCATACGTGGAAATATATGAAGTAACATATTTTGTAATTCATGATGTTTATAATTTATTATGAAGGTCATCTGAGGAATGACCATTATAACAATAATAATATTGCTATAATGACAGCAAGTTAGAACAGTGAAGTGAACTACAATTTTAGAATGAAGTGTAATTAACTTAGAATGAAGTTTATGAGTACAAGTAGTATGACCACGTGGTCAGACAAGTAGATTGTGTCACGTGTACTTCCAACCACATGTTGATTGACAAGTGATGACTCGTCCAGATAGCCAAATTGATATGAATATCTGATTCATCAGATAGGACACATCAGATAAGAAGTAATATGGAGAACACAGGTAGTCAGACAAGTAGATTAAGCCATGTGTGATTAGACAGTGTCGTTTGACAAATAGTTCAGGGTTGTGACTGATAACGTGTGCTCTAGTATTTACAGTAGAATGTTCAAATATGTGAGCATGTTCGGGTCATGTTAGGTTAATGGCACATGTTAGGTTAGGTTAATGGTACATGTAGCTACGTATATGTAATTATGGTTAATATGGTTAATATGGTTAATATGGTTAATATGATTAATATTGTTAATATGGTTAATATGGTTAATATAAGTATATATAAGAAAAATAATTAAAGGAGTTGTACTATTCCAGGGTGTTACATTGAGAAGATGGCAGCAACCGGTCAGACGAAAAGATTCTGTGGCCAGAATGACCCTCTCGGGCCTCCATTACGTCGTCGAGGTGAGTCCAAATCACGAACTTCATAAAAAGCCGTCCCTAATAAAACCTTACTATTGTCCAACGTTTGTTGAAATGAAACTGATAGTTATTAATCGGCGGAAAAATACATAGACGAAGGGAAACGATACGTATCGTCCCGTTTCCTGTTATTACCGATGGAAATCAAGCTAAACGAGTAAGCAGTTAATCAACGTTTCGTTATCGTCAAGAGACGCACTGTTCGGCCGCGAAACGAGGCTAAGTTTCCTTCGAGTGAAGTTGTACGTTTCGACGGAAGTCTGTACGATCATTAAGCTAACGAGGTAGCGGTAACCACTTCCGGAAACCGTACATCGTCTTGCGTCGGATTGGCTTTGATATCTGGCAAAGTTGCGCCCTCTCGGCTCGCTATTCCGAAGCTGCGTTAATTACCGATTCACGAAACGGCGTTGATTAGAAATTTTGCGAAATTTCTACCTACTACGGGCTCACGTTCACTCGTTTCCATCTCTAATTAGCCTCGTAATTTTTGCGTTAATACGCACTTGTCCTGGGGTTAAATAAAGTCGCCGCAGTGCATTGTTCCCCCGGAAATTTGGCGGTTCGCGATAGCGGAAATTTGAGATTCTACTGGTTGTGAATTTGGGATATGGGGGATTTGGAGATAGAATATTTGCGTTTAGGGAGTTAGGGATGGGGGGACATGGACATTTTGGAATTTGGGGATTTTTGAGAATTTGGGGAATTTAGAGAATTTGAGAATTTTTTGGGAATTTAGGGATTTTTAAGAATTTGAGGAATTTGGGGATTTGGGAATTTTTAAGAATTTTGGAACTGGGAATTTGGGGATTTTTTAGAATTTGGGAAATTTAGACATTTTTAGGAATTTGAGGAATTTGGGGATTTTTCGGAACTTGGGAAATTTGGGAATTTTTAAGAATTTTGGAACTTTGGGAATTTGGGGAATTTAGACATTTTTAAGAATTTGAAAAATTTGGGGATTTTTCGGAACTTGGAAAATTTGGGAATTTTTAAGAATTTTGGAATTTTTTAGAATTTGGGGAATTTTGAGAATTTAGGGACTTCGAGGATTTTTTAGAATTTAGGGAATTTGGAAATTTAGGAATTTTTTAAATTGATAACTAGGGAATTAAATTTAATAATGTGAGGATTTAATGAATCTAAAATTTGGAACAATGGAAACTAGATTTAACGATTTGGAAAATTACAAACTCTAGGGTTTGAGTCCATGAATTGGGTTCTTGTAGATCTAAAAATTAGATAAGTGGACCAGGAGCTCTGCAAATCTCAGAACTCGAAAATGAAGAAATTTATGAACTTGGAAGTTTGCATTCGCTAACTCAAAGATTTGATGATTGAAGTATGTAAAAATCTGAAATTCAGAAATATTTTCGAAAGTTTGAGTAACGAACTTCCACTTGATTATACCAATTAATTATCCCAATTAAAACTTGTTCCTCTTCGCGACCCCTCTAATTTCCCTTACAAAATCCTCCCAAAAGTAATAGAAATCATACACATACTTTCAATATTTTGCAGTAGTAGTCCATCGATCTTAATATAAGTTTCCAAGTTTTAAAAGCACATCTTTTCTCCATCCACAATAAAATTCCCAACAAAGTCAAAAAGCCATTTAACCGTGGCGAAAAATCCTCGAAGATTACTTGCGAGAAGTAAACAAGGTTGTTCAAAAAGTTGCTTTCTGGCAATAAAACTCGAGGTTCGAACGAAAATACTCGATAAAATTGAGCGTCGCTTAAACGAAATTATTTAGTAATCGAAAATCGATCGGGCGATGTTTCTAACTCTCTTAACCGACTGATTTCTGTTAATTAACAAACTTTGCAAGTTTGTTATAAAATGTTCGACTTCATCATTCGATTACGTCGATTAAACGTTTTTCGTGTATAAGTTTCTCCGTCGAAATAAAAACTTTCGAACACCTTCGCACGAGAATAGAAACAATGAAGTTACTTAAGGGGTTGTTTAGCTTATTGTCGAAAAGTACAGCGAACGACGTCAGCTCGAAGACACTTTGTTTCGTTTTCGAGACTGTTATTGAGCCAGAAACAAGTCCCACGTCTGACTTGCCAGATAGAATGACACTTCTGCCGCTTTACATCGCGCTGTGAGCACAGCCTCTCTGTGCGCGGACGACAAAGGGAAGTTTTGTCAAGAACCAGCCGGTAAAGAAAGTAGATTTAAACGAGTGACAACGTCTACGTGTAAACTTTGTCCCTTTTCTACCCAATCTACTCTCGTTCGGCCGATCGACTTTTGCATTAGAGAAATTGCTTAAATTCTTTCGATATTTGTTCGCAACTTTTTGCATTCGTTTCTAATTAAATATTTCAGAAGAATATTTTTAGAGATTTTTGGGGAAAAATGTTGTGTATTGCTGTGAAATGTGAAGGAAATATTATTGTAAAATATTTATGTAGGTCCTTTTCAATTTATAGTAACGTCATTACGTAATACAGGACTTTTCACTTATATCGAGACACTCGTGACACGATACAAAATTTATATTTGCAGCATAAGTGAGATTGGTTTAGTATCAATAATCCACTTGTCTTATTTAGACAAACTTATTTTTTAATGGACATTTACAGGATTTAATTCCATCACTTATACCGAGTCACACTGATGCATATTACAGTTCAGGCACAACAAATAAAAATTATATTTGTAGCAAGAATGAGTGTGGTTTAATACCTATAATCCATTTGTTTTACTTAAACAAACTTATTTTGTAATGAACACTTATAGAATTGAACTCTGTAACTTATATCGATTCACACTGTCGTACATTGTAGTTTAGTTACAACAGACAAAAATTATATTTGCAGTATAAGTGAGTGTAGTTTAATACCAATAGTACATCTGTTTTATTTAAAGAAACTTATTTTGCAATGAACACTTAAAGAATTTAACTGTGTCACTTATACTGAGCCACACTGATGCATATTACAGTTCAGTTACAACAGACAAAAATTATATTTGCAGCATAAGTGAGTGTAGTTTAATACCAGTAATACATCAGTTTTATTTAAAGAAACTTATTTTGTAATGAACACTTATAGAATTGAACTCTGTAACTTATATCGATTCACACTGTCGTACATTGTAGTTTAGTTACAACAGACAAAAATTATATTTGCAGCATAAGTGAGTGTAGTTTAATACCAGTAATACATCAGTTTTATTTAAAGAAACTTATTTTGTAATGAACACTTAAAAAATTTAACTGTGTCACTTATATCGAGCCACACTAACGTACATTGTAGTTCAGATAAAAAAAAACAAAAGTTATATTTACAGCATAAGTGAGTCTGTCTTAATAGCAATGATTAATTTGTTTTACTTAAAGAAACTTATTTTGTAATGAACACTTATAGGATTGAACTCTGTCACTTATATCGAATCACAATGACGCACATCACAATTAAACTACAACAAATAAAAATTATATTCGCATCACGAGAGTTCGGAGTGTAATACCAATTGTTTTATTCAAATAAACTCATTTTTTAATGAACACCGAGAATTCAAGTATCTTCACTTGTTCACAGAAGGAGGAATTCAGTTAAACGGGAACAAACTCCGATTTCGTATCCTGTTAACGCGAAATAAATGAGTGTATCGTTAAAAGAAAAACTCATTAAAGTTGGAATTTCACATTTCGTTTCCGTGTCGAGGGATGCGTTTCAATTCCAGCGAAATCAGGGATCATTTCCAACGATCCGTGTTCACCAAAGAAACTCATCCAGAATTTCCCATATTTTTTTTTTTTAATGAATCGAAAATCTTTGTCCTAGATTTCGCGAGTATTCGACGACATTATCTTGGTATTTTCATCGATTTCTCGGGCGGAGAAAGCGAGCTGACACGTGTAAGGATCTCTTCGTGTTTAACCGCAAATATCGCGAAAATTGGAATTATAATTGGATCGTGCGGAACAATAATTGCCAGCCAGAATAACGTTTGTTCGGTCAAACGGTTTCACGTTGTCCGTTCAATCACATATTTTACGTGGACCGTCGTTCCCGTTTCGGTTTTCGGATAAATCAAATATGTTTCAAATAGCGGACGAAGAAATTATTTTCTTTCGATGCTCTAGTTTATTTTAATTACGGTTTGATAATTGAAATTGGTAGGAGTAATCGGGGAATTGTGGAAATAGTAAATATTGTGGAATTTTGTTAATTAATCTTTGTGAACATAACAAGTAATTTCATGTCTTAAAAAACGAACATGTATAACAAATAACACATATAACAAATAATAAACAAAACATAACAAAAATAAAAAATAACGTACATAACAGATAATATATATAACAAGTAACATATATAACAAATAACATATGTAACAAATAAATATAATAAATAACAAGTATAACATATAACAAATATAACTAATATCAAATATAACAAGAACAACATACAACAAATACAACAAATATCAAATTTATTATATTTATATGTTACAAATAAGTATAAGAAATAACAAGTATAACATGTAACAAGTATAACAAATAACAAGTATAACGAATAACAAACATAACATATAACAAGTATAAAAAATAACAAACATAACATATAACAAATATAACAAATAACAAGTATAACATATAACAAGTATAACAAATAACAAACATAACATATAACAAACATAACAAATAACAAAAATAACATATAATATATAACAAATAACAAAGCTGAAGAGCATGTGCCTCTAAAAATTTCACAAATGAAATCAATTATTAAAATTATTAAAAAAAATAATTTTTGTCATTTATTCTCCTTAAAAAATGAAAAGCATCAAAATATAATAAAAAATATTATTTTGTACGACACATTTGCACGAAAATGCAACAAAGGGTTAATTCTGTGATTCACTAAAAACATTTTTTTGATTCGACAATTTTTATACAGACATTTAAAGGAACAATCGAACAAATTACTTAATAAAATATTGTTTAAAAGCGTCAATACGAA